CGTCGAGCTCTGAGCTCGGGCTGACGGCGGCGTTGGCAGAAGCAACAGCTCCCCAGCCGGCGGTCAGGATGAGCCGTGCCGCCCCAAGGAGGGCAGACCGCCTAGATGCGCTACGCTAGGCAACGCAGGGAGGAGAAAGTAAGTTGGAGAGAGAAAACTTACACAGTACCAGCATGTATACGTACGTGTAGGTGTACGGGCAGGGCTGCACATACCTGGAGTTAAAAAGATTCACTTACAAGTCTTTCTGGGTCCATAAAGAGGCAGACATTTTTGGTCTGTGTAAGACTTGCGTGTTTTCACAGCCCCCAGCAATCACCCCTCAGACGTGGTTTTTAACAGACGGTATTTCGTTTATTGAAAAGTAAGCCACCAGGGAGCCAGCTGCGGTGAGAACAGCCCTCTGCAGGCACGCGCTGAGCAAAGGGAATCGAGCCCCTGCAGGACGGCTGGAGGAACGCCCTCTCCTCCCGCCAGATGTAATTCCTCTGGGCCCCACCTTGGCGGTCTGTGCCCCCGAGAAGGTGAAGGCTCACTTTCTTGCCCTCTTTTGCTTCAGCGGTAGAATTAATTGAAAGGTTACCGCACTTGCTCCCAGTCCTCTGCCTGGCTATCTTCTCTCCTTTCCCACAATGCCCTGTTCGCAGTCTGGTTGACACAGAGGACCTGTCACAAATGACAGAAACAGGTAAAAGAATACTGGCAATTTAATTTGGTTCTATTCAGGCAATTCATAAAACTCTTAAGCCAAATAAAATAAAATCCAATTATAACTTATGTTAAGCGCTCAATAAAAGCTTGACCTTTTGTTTACATTAGTACAATGGGTTAACATCGTTACTATTATAATAGGAAACACCTTGATGTATTTATCCTTTTAAGTATTTTAGATAATCTTTTGTACGTGTTTAGAGAACTTCTCTATATATGAAGTAAAAATGTGAATTCGTGGCAAAAATTACTGAAACTGAAAGTACAATAAAAATGTAGGAATTGTTTATTTTTAACTATCATGTTGATAAGCACTTCTGAAATAAAAATAATAAAGCAGTACTAGTTGATACAACATACCCAATCTCCTTGCTATTGATGTTTTCAATATCATATCAATGGCATGGTTAACATTGTAGTGTTTATTCAACTTAGAGCTGTGAAATATTTCATGAAGCTGACAGCATGTATTAGTGTGTATATAGAGACATTAAAGACATTCTATACCAAAAAATGGTATTTACAAATAGTGAAACTTCAAAAATAGGTGAAAGCTTTACTGAAAAATGAATCAAGAAGAACTTTAAAAGGAAATACTAAGGCCCAGTCTACTACTATTATTTTACTTTTGATAAATGCAGGTAGTGAGGGACCAGCAGGTAGCATGGTACTTAAGGTGCTAGACTTGCATGTGGTCAACTGCAGTTTGAATCTCAGACCTGGTGGCTTATTTTCTCACTTTCTCTTTCTTGTCACATGCCATCTAAAAATTAAAACATAATAGTCATAAATAAAAATTAATAATCTTTTAAAATGCAGGTAGCGAACAACATTGAGACCAAGATGTAATCATTCTGGAATGGATTAGAAAGATGAGTAATGTCACATGCTGTGGGTCTGGTTCCAAGGCTAGTATACTTTTTTTCATTAAGAAAATACACTTTCTAATAATGTTTAAATTATTTTTAGGAATCAGGCACATGGGGCCAGCAGACAGTGTGGTGGTTAAAGTACTCTACTCCCAGATGACTTACTGTGGTTTGAGTCCCAGACCTGAAAAAAATTTCCCTCTCTCTGTCTCTCTCTGGTGAGCACACATGTCCTATAGCAAGTTTTAAAATAAAAATAACAAATAATAATAAGAAATAAAATTAAACAAATAGTTATATGAAAAATATTTTTAAATGAGAAGACTGATAATGAGTTATCAAAAGTATCAAATTCAAATATATCATTCTATTGCACTATATTTTACTCAAAGATAAACTTTAACTGGATCATCCTATTGTGTTATAGTTTATTCAAAATGTTTATTAGTTATCCTTACATACTTGCTTATCATGTCATTTTCCTACATATATGTGAGTTTTGCCCAGAAGAAACAAAGTAAAACTTGTATAATAATGCTTCAGAGACTATAGTAATTGGCTAAATCTCTTAAAAATTGTTCAATTTTGAGGTCTTTCTTTAGAAATAGATTATATACATTGTGTTAATTAGTCACATTTTAAAGAGTCAAAGGCCATGCTCCACAGAGCAGTGGAAATGTGCTGCTCAAGAGAAGCCAGATCCCATGTGGCAACCACAGTTCTAGTCACTGGCATGGTCAGGCTCAGACACACTGGACATGCCCACAAGTGCCAAAGATCTAATGGGCTGGAAGGAGGGAGGAAGGGGTTGCATGGTGACCAGGTCTCCTGGAGGGTGCATCTCTCTTTCTTGCTCTGTCTTAAGTGAGTACATACATACTCAATTATGAATAATGAAAAAAAATTATGATTGTTCTTTACCTTCTAAGTCTTTGACATTTATATTAAAATACTGAGGTGATATTTGGTACATTTGTTACACTTGACCAATTTTAAGGATAGTTTAAAAAACAAACAAAAGAAAACAACTCCTTTTTTTCTTGCCAGATTATGATGGATGTCTATCAGTGTAGTGCCTTCATAGTCAAAAACTCTCCATCATTGCTGGCCTATATTTTAGATGTGGTTTGCCAAATCTACATAACATAAAAAGATGTATATTTATTTGCACAGTTGCTATAGATACCACTTGCTTAGTTGTATTAACTTCTCTCTTTACTAAAGGAGATATTTTCTTTCTAATTCCAGTAATTAAAAATTTTCAGGGAAAGTGAAAGGAAAGTGAAATACTTTAAAATATGCTTATGCTACGTGAGTTTTAGATGGGTCAAATTCCATTAAGCAAACATTATGAAAAGCAAATATATGCAATTTTTCAAGGCCCATTTATTTAAAGCAATATTTGATCTAATGAGTTTTCATTGCATGGGAGAGAATGTGAATGACAAAAAGCTTGTATTTCAGCCTGTAATCAGTTTCCACATATTCCCAGTCTCGTGGCTGCTTCATAGATGACTGACATAGCAAGAAGTCCTCTCTCATTATTGTCATCACTGTAACTCAAATAGACCCTCTATCTCTAAGTTCACTGCTGCCACCTCAGTCTAAACCATTATTACCTCTTGTTTGAACCATTGACATATTCTAACTAGTTCCTACTTCCAATGTTGCCTCTGTACATAATTTATTCTCTATATCCAAAAGCCAGAGTGATTTTTTAAAAAAAATAGATCATATTCTAGTATTTCTCTATTAAACTATCTAATTATTTCATATCATACTCAGAGTAAAATTCAAACTATATTCTGTTAACAACAGCCCGCTCAATCTAGTCCATACACACCACGTTCTACTGCATTCCCTTCTCCCCTTGCAACTTTTATCTGTACTTAAAGGAAAGTATCTTGTTCTCCAGGTTAGAAGTAAAGATTGTCTCTTCAGAGAGGCTCCTCCTGGCCCCCTAAGCTAATGGAGATACATGGGATTGAACTTTTTCTTGCTGTTGTTAAGTAAGTTAATAGACTGTGGGCTTTATTTTATTTTTATTTATTTATTTTTTTGAGACATTTTTGCTATAGGGCCCATGCACTCACTAGGAAGACAGAGGAAGACAGAAAGGGAGAAATCACCCCCCCAGGAGGGATGGTCACACCACAATCCCTTCTCCTCCATTCTCCTCTCTGGGTCTTGGGCACATATGCACGCACACCCAGTATGAGTTTAAGCCACCGGGTCCGGAACTTGAACTGTGGTCAACTACATGGGAGTCCATCAACGTAGCCATTAGACCATCTACTGGTCTTAATAGACTGTGTTTTCAAATTA